GCGGGAGGAGGGGGGGCTGGCTCGGCGTTAGTCCTGGAGAGTAATCGGTCTGTCACAGAAAAAGACCCAGCGATCGGCAAAAATAATGATCACACGAGAAGAGTCCCAATGGATAGTCACATGGGAGGTATGCGTAAGATTCGTTTTCATGTGGTGTATATTTTGAAGTTGGCAGCGACAGGGGGTGCGTCCTCCTCGTCCCTCGCCCCTCCTCCCCCCCCCACCGATGCCGGCACTGGCGGGAGAAGGCAGGAGGGGGAGGGTGTGCGCTCGGGAGGGCGGTGGCTCAGTCGTCCTCGGCCTCGACGAGGGCGCGCAGTTGCTCGACGGTGTGGATGCGCTCGTCATCGGGATCGTGCCGCCGGGGGCGTCGGGCCTCGGCGCCGCCGCTGTAGTCGTCATCCTCCTCGCGCTGTCTCCGACTGAGAAAAGGGGGGGGGGAGGAAATGGATTGGGCAGTGGCCCGCGGACGAGAGCAGGATGGTGAGTGTGGGGAAGATGCACCTCGGATGCGGCAGCGGGCAGCGATGCGAAAAAAAAAAAGAACAAAGAAGAAGAGGGGCCCCGCACCGTGATTCGTATGTCTTGTGCGAGGGAAGCCGGGGGAAGAGCGAAGGGGAAATGGCCGGCGGGTCCTCGCTGAAGTAGGGATGGTTCAGGGCATCGCGCGCGGTCAGACGCTTGGCCGGGTCATAGGTCAACAGGGCCGACAGCAGGGCAATGGTCTCCTCGGTGACCAGGGGGGTGACCCCGAAGAGGAAGCTGCCCAAGCCACCGGCTGCCGGGGTACTTCCCCCGCCGGGGCCGCCCTTCTCATTCAACTGGAGTAGCTTATTCCGAAGGTGGTTGTATGGCTGCTGGCGCAGGGTAAACTGGAGGACAGGCAACGAATGGGAGGGAAGGGGGGGGGGGAGAACGGGCGCGCAGGTGCAGAGCGTGAGCTGGTGCCAGGGGGGACATGCGCGGAGAAGGGAGCAGGGCGAGGGAGAGACAGGACAAGGGCATGCTCCCAAAGCATGCCCTCGGAGCAGAAGCAGGATACCCCCCTTTCCCCGCGAAAGTGGACGCACCTGCTTGCAGAAGGGCAGCGAGCTGACCCCCGGCCAGATGACCTCGTTCGGAGTGCCGAGCAGGTCGAAAATGGCCGACACCATGGCAAATTCCCCGGGGGCCGGGAAGAGCGGCTTCCGTGCCATGATCTCGTAGAAGATGCACCCGACGGACCACATGTCGATGGCGGTGGTGTAAACCCGGGACCCGAGAAGCAGCTCGGCCGCCCGATACCACAAGGTCACCACGTTGGGGGACATTTCCTTGACCGGGCTGCCGAAGGCCCGGGCCAGGCCGAAATCCCCGACCTTCAGATGCCCCCGGGCGTCGAGGAACAGGTTGGACGGCTTAAGGTCCCGGTGGATGATCCACTTGTCGTGGAGATGGTCAACCGCGGATAGCTGCACAGCCAGGGGGAGGGGGAAAGGGGGGGGGGGAGGGGGAGGGGGAGGGGGAGGGCAGGCAGGTGAGCGAGACAGGGGCATGGCAGAGGCACGCCGGATGGCAGTGGTATTGGCGGCGGCGGTGACGGTGGTGGCGGCGGCGGCGGTGGCAAGCAAAGGGACAGAGAGCTTGTCCGGTCGCACCAGCTGCTGCATCAGCATCTTCACCTCGTTTGGCCGCAGGAGACGCGGGAAGTTTTTCAGGAACTGCTTCAGCTCCCCGTACGAGGCATACTCCATGGCGATGTAGAAGTCGTCCGGGCATCGGGGAGACCCGACCACGATCTCCAGCACCCGGATGACATGTGGATGGTGTGCCGTCAGGAGCATGGACACCTCGCGCAGGGTGGTGATCGAGAAGCCGATCTGTCGCCGGCGGGGCCGAACGCGCCAAAGGGTTAGTACCAGGGCGACGGGTGTGGCCTGGCCGGGCGCGGGCCGGGAGGGAACACCGGCAGGGGAGATGCGAAGGGGGACGAGGAGGGGGGCATGCGCGTACTCGGTCGTGCTCCGGCTTCAGGCGTTTGAGGGCCACGGTTTCGCCGGTCTTGCGGCACTTGGCCCGGTAGACCACCCCGTAGGCGCCCTCGTCGAACTCCTGCAGGTCGGTATAGGCAGCGGCCACGCGCCGGCAGCCACGCAGACCGGGGGCCGACAGTGGCAGAGCCCCGCGGCGCAGGTCCGCCGGCGAGAGGTCCAGCTCGGCAAACGGATCGAAGCGGGTGGCTGGCCGGTCGCGCGCGCCGGAGCTGGCATTTCGCAGGGTGATCTGCGGCTGACGAGGCGCGTCGGCCGGGGCTGCCGGGCTTGCTGTGGCAACCGCGGGCCTGGTCGCGGCGACCGGGGCCGGGGCCGGGGCCGGGGTCGGGGTCGGGGCCGGGGCCGGCACAGCGGGAGGCGGTGACCTCTCCCAGCGACTCATGAAAAAGGCAGGGGCGGGGGGGAGGGGACGGGATGGACACGCAGACGGACAGATGAGCGGACGGGGGGAGGGGGGGGGGGGGGGGAGGCGGGGCGGGGAGGGCGAGGGGGAGGGGTCGGTGGTGCCGCCGGCCCCAGGTCGACACCCGCACACTGGCGCCTTTTCCTCCGCACCGACGGGCGATCGGCCGAGATCCGTTGGCACTCGTTTGGGAGTGCCGCCGGTCGGCTGGAGCCACCTGGTCTGCGTGTGCGTGGCGCGCGCATGCGTGAGTCCCTCTCTCGCCCCGGGGCAGTGTGCCTTTGGTTGCCGCGCCCTGTATTC